TTTAATTTGTACAGGTGGTGACTCCAAACTTTTTAATCTTTGCACTTAATTTTCAATTTTTTTTATCCTTTTAGGTGGATTCGTCATTACATACAACATGGGAGAACTAGTTAAATGGCTGCACATGAACGTGTGTTGAATAAGTAGGTATCTGAATCATTTTCTTATATCGTAACATTTTTTAATTAAAAAAAATTAGATTTGTTTCTATCTGAAAGCTTACCTTAACTTTTTATCGTTTGCAATTTATAATATATCTCATTGTCAACAAATTAAATTTCTATATACTGTATCAGGGGATGGCGCAAATGAATAACACTATCCAGGTTCGTATAGATGGCTGGATACAGGGCCTTCCTGCCGAAACTTCATGGCCTAAAATTTTTCAAGTGCCTCGTTATTTACGAGAGCTAAATGAAGAAGCCTATGAACCTACAATCATATCTATTGGCCCTTATCATCGTCAGAAAGATCATTTAAAAGCAATGGAAACACACAAGGTGCGTTTTCTAAAAGATCTTCTTCAACGAAGAAATGAGAATAGCGCTCAAAGATATGTGGAGGCCATGACAGATATGAAGGAAAGGGCTCGTAAATGTTATTCAGAATCTTTGGTTATTTCTGATGAGGAATTTTTAGAAACAATGGTTCTTGATGGATGTTTTATTGTTGAGCTAATTCACAAAATAAAAGAGGGAAGTTGCCAGCAGGATTCTATCTTAAATGTGAGTCAGATTTTCACAAACATTGTGAAAGATTTGATACTAGTTGAGAATCAACTTCCCTTTTTTGTACTATGGGAGTTTCTAGGCAACGCCTTTGAAGATCGATTCCGTTGCATTGATGTCATTATTGGGTTTTTTGAAGTAATGATGCCAGGGCTCACGGTTCGTCTAACCTATGATGAAAATTCAATAAAAAAGGTCAAGCATCTACTAGACTTATTACGCACCAACTGGATTCCTTCAGATGATACCATGCATGAATGCAAGAACGTGCAAGAAATGAAGTTCATACGTTCTGCTACAGAACTAAGGGAGGCAGGAATCAAGTTCAGAAGGGGTAAGGGACGCAACTTGTTTGATATAAAGTTTGAAAATGGGACACTTTACATTCCAGCTTTGAATCTTGAAGATCACACTGAGAGATTATATTGCAATATCGTTGCCTGTGAACAGTTTGCTGATGATGGATCTCCAGAATACTTGACCAAATATATAACAGTCATGGATTGTCTCATTGATACAGGGAAGGATGTGGAGTTACTTTTTCACAAGGGGATAATGCATCACTGGTTAGGCACTGACGAAGCAGCTGCCAAGATTTTTAATAGGCTTGGAACTGAAGTCATCGTCGACAGAAGTAACTTCTTTTATGCCAAGTTATTTAATGATGTCAACAGACATTACTACAATCCTTGGAACAAAAGGGTGGCAAGCTTAAGGCACAATTATTTCAACACTCCATGGGCCTTGATCTCCTTTCTTGCAGCATCTTTCTTGCTTCTACTTACCCTACTGCAAACAACATTCACAGTTTTCCCTAGGTCTTGAAAGTGCCTCAAACCTTTAGTATGGAGGGAACAACGTCAATTAGCAGATGGCATCGAGGTGTGTGAGAAGTGCAGGGTGTTAGGGTGCATACATGGACTAGTTTGAAATGTTTTCATACATATCCTTTTGCGTTTGCTTTAGTTAATAAGTGCGTATCTATTTTAGTGCCATGTTTTCTTTCTCTGTTTGGTTGGGTTTCTTTAGACTTCTAAATTATAATGTATTTTTTCGGTATAAAATCTACTTAATGAAAGCTGTTTAATATTTTCAAAGAATCTGTAAACTTTACATGATTTATATTAAATTGGACTGGTCAAAACTATATGAAAAAATACTTCCATACAAAGAGACTCCAAACTCATCCTTAAAATATAATGAAAACTATTCTCCATAATGGCTATTACTACAACTTTACAAGCACCTCAAAGCATACTAACCAAAACACCACGCTCCTTCAACAATTCCCTCACATCTGTAATGCCCCTCTACTTTCTGAGGGCATAAGCCATAGTTTCACCTCCATAAAAAATATCTAGTTCAATATATATAACATAGAACGGTTGGGTTGTGGAACAAAAGCAAGTATTCATTAATCACCTCTAGGATAATTTGCTAGTAAGGCCAAGTTGAAACTCTCAAAATTTTGAGATAATAGATCTTTCAATTATATCCACATTAATCACCTCTAGGATTATGAGGATTCAAGGATTATTAAAGAAAGTTTTTACTGATGACAATGAGGATTCAAGGATTGGTAGAGTACTAGCTGGTGGTAGGATGGAGGTGTGTGTCCAAATGGAGATGGTAATCGTCCAAGGCAGCAAAATTGTAATCTTTCCGTGGATTCTTAAACTATCTCTGAGGACTTTTCTTCATTTCCAGGCTTACCACACTCAGAGGGTTTTCTCTATTTGCTGCTACTATCATCCCTGTTCTGTGCTTGGAAAACTTACTTCCCCTTTTCGGTTCCACCTAAACTTGATACTGTCTACATGACATGGAGGTACAACACCTTTTTTGTTTTACCCATTTAGGTTGCAGCAAAACTCTCAGATGGTGCCACTGTTCAGCTTTATCAAAGCTCCCCAGATAGGTTTTATGCATTCATACTATATGGTATGTTTAGGGTTGACCTTGTTTGTTTTGTTTATGTTTCAGTATATAGAACTGGCCTGCACTACTGCTTTGCTCAAAATTTATTGCCAATTACACTCAAAACACACAAAATTAACTCATTACATCAGTAAAATCAACTCAAACATGAAATGAATTGAAATCAAGCTAAAACAGGATATGCACTCAACAAAATCTGCGCCAAGGAACCAGACTTACGCCATTTTTAACCAACATACTCAATAAAAAAGAACATATTTCATACACCCAAAAGGGCGCCCTAAAGCTAAAGGAAGCATACCAAACACACAAGTGACACAACTCATGAGTTGAGGATAGATCTTAATTAGGAACACTAAATTTAAAGACATACATGAGATTTCTACACACTAGACACTATTGATGAGCTAAAAAAGGACATACACTCACAGAAATCTGCACTTAGGGACCAAACTTATGCCATTTTTAACCACCAAACTCAACAATCAAGAACATATTTCATACACTTGACAGCACACCCTAAAGGAAGCATACAAATCACACAATTCATGAGACGAGGACAGTACTTTAGAGGAACAATAAAATTAAAGACATATACGAGATTTCTACACACTAGGCACACTATTCACGAGCCAACAAAAGATTCAATCAAGTAGTAACAGGGATAAATCGATTGACTAAAATGCAGATTCCACATCTATATCAGAATTTCAATCAACACGAATGGCAAAATTATAAAACATTAACCTATAAACACAATGCAAATTTTGTAAAACAAATGGGGAAACAGGGCACATGACAATGAAAAAGAAAAAGCACAGAAACCACTTGATGCACAGATTAGACACCCGAAATCACAGCCAAAATTTTCAAGAAATAGTCATGTAAAATGAACCAATAAATTCGATTCCAATTCAATTTAATCGAAAGCTCAATTAAGAAACAAGGATTGCAAGTTCGGAATTGGAAATACCTTTGAATGATTCTGAAATTGCAGGTTGTAATTGTATTGATTCCGCAGAACTACATTGTGTCGAATTTCTGCTACAAAACTCTACTTTAGATTCTTCTTCACCTTCGGCCAATTACAAATCGAGCTTAAGAATCCCAATTCCGCAGATCCATTATATTAAAGATTTTAATTTCTCCCACAGTTGGGCAGTCCCTGGCTCAAGTCCTCCTATTTAAGACGGAACCCATGTCGGTAGGGTCCGAGAGTCTGAGTTCGCCCAGGTTGTCGGAGTGGTGTGCCATGAGAACACGGTGGTGAGTTGCAGGGTATGGGTAGAATGGAGAGAATATCAACGCCAGAGAAAGAAGGTGACTTCGATGTTTTTAGGTCAACATATTCAGGAAATTACTCAGTTTTTCTGTAAAGAAAATGACATGAGTGCAACGTTAAGTCACGTTATGAACCTAAGGTTCTTTAAATTTATAATTCTAGGTTGCTTTTTAAGGAAAAATGTGCAAAAATAT